TTACTCCCCTCTGCCCCCGTCCATGAATGCAGGTGCAATGCCTCTGCCCTAGAAGCTGATGGCCACATTTATGCCAAGTCAGTGTACCAGCAATCTGAGGTTTTGGCTAAAATGTTTCCTCCAAATTAGACTCCTTCCCTTGGGCCAAAATGGCAAACAGTGTGGGATTAGATCCACACCATTAACAAAATACAATTAATAAAACACCAGGCCATCCTCAAACGGCTGACAACCTAATTAAGGGGCATATCGAGGTGAGGTGAAGTGCCCCACCATCCCAAGGTGGAATGTAGGGGTCAGTTGTCGAAGAACACTGTACGTGTGAAGTATAGGGATGGTGAGGCCTGCATTCTCCCCCCTTTTCCATTTTTGCCTCCCCCCTTCCCTACTACTGATGAGCCAGAAGCAAGCCTCTAGGAACATACGCCATTGTAGCAAGAATGAATTGTAGATAAGGGCGGGAACATAACAATCCTGTTTACCCTAATGTACTTGTAGAAGCTGTAGAAACCATTTCATATTTAGCTAAAAGCCATCTTGTATAACAGAAACCATTTCAGCTTTTCTCTCAAGCACGTAGTAGTATTTAAAATGGCACCAGAGCACAGCAATTTGGACCTCACTGACAGGCTTTGGGTACCGGCACCTCAGAAGCTGAGACAGTCTTCCACTTCATCTGCAGCCAAAACAGGTTACCCAGCTAGCATAAGGAAGGTAAGAAATGGCACTTTTCCTATCAAGTTGTTCTTTTAGTTAAGGGGCACAGCTGATAGCTCTCAGAAAATAAACTGCTCATGTTTGACAGATACCTGTGTAGCATTTTTTGTACTTTGAAAAACCAGTGTCAGACCTTGCCAGCAACACCCTGTATGGCCTTATGTTCCTAAAAAGAGTTGCATTAATGCTAATGTTTAGTATGGGTCATTCTGATTTGAAGTTCATGTCACATCAGCAGTTGGAATGAAGGACATGAAAAGAAATCAAAAGCACGTGCAGCCATTTTTTGAGGAATACAGGAGCTTTCGAAAAAGGGCTTATTTTTCAAAAGATCCATATCTAGACTGCCGTTTTTTTTTTTTCAAAAGAGCTCTATTTTGAAAAAAAGTGGTGGCCATGTTTATGCTAATGAAGTGCAGGATATTTAAATCCCTGCCTCATTAGCAATTTCAATGTGCCTAATCTACATCTCTCTGTCAACAGAGAGGTGTAGTCTAGATGTACCCAGTGTGATGAATCCCTGGCTTACTGCAAGGGCAATGCCATCAAACCTGAACCACCAGGGATTCTGGCTGGCCTCCAAGATCACATGTGAGGATGGGGTAGGAACATCCACAGAAAAGATGATGCAATCTAATATTGATTCAGCACATACAGAAACACCAAAATGAACTGCTCCTGCATGGCCCATCTCCCTGATATCAAACCTACCACACCAGAAGGGAAAGGGGGAGGAGTGTGTGTGCTAAATTTTACTGACTATCCAGAAGCTTCTGAAATTCTTTGCTGATTGTAACTTGTTCTCTTATTTTCCATGTACATCATAAGTCTGGAGCATGTAAGATGACCAACGATACTTTAATAAGAATAATATGACTCAATAAATTTTAAAAAACAATGGTATAATTTTTATGTTGCTATTTTCATTTATTCTGGACAAATACACCATAGACCGTGAGCTTCCTGGACTTTTTACTTTGAGAATAGCTTATTTATTTTTCACCTATATTTGTACTGCTTTCCCCCCTTCATATACTGCCATAATTTTTATCCTTGCTAAGAATCAGGGCTTATAAAGCATCTTACTCTTCCATTTGGAAACTATTTTCCCCTCAGTCCTGTATTAAGCTCTTATCATGAAGGGAAGCTGCCCTTTGAAGAAGCATTAAAGGTAGCATTTGTCAGAGAAGCACCTGAGTCTGTTCCTCACAGCCTGGAAGCTAAAATAGAAAATCTGTGGTGGGATACCCCTTCATTTTAGATTTTGAATTAGGGAGGAATGTCAATGGGGGGAAAAGCAAATCACTTTCATAA